CCATCCATCCATCCATCCATCCATCCATCCGGAATGAAGTTTACTTAATTGCTAAATACTCTGCTTTGGTGTTCTGTCCAGTGACCCCTTTTTAGGTCGACTGCATACTTCTCTGATAATGGCAAGACCAACTAAGAACTAAGTTGACTTTATAGAAGTGTGTAAAGAGGCCTAGGCAAAAACTCAAATTGGAAAACGTATTTTAGCCTCAACCTCTCATTTAATCTCCGGCTGATGCTCGTCTACACCATAGTCAGTTATCATTCAGGAATCTGCCTTTAAATCCCTTTCATACGTGCATAGTTCTCCCTCACTGTCTGCTTCTGTCTCCTTGAACTCCAGTCGACCTGGTTGTGCTGGAGGTTTCTTCCTGTTAAAAGGGAGTTTTTCCTCTCCACTGTCGCTACATGCATGCTCAGTGTGAGAGATTGCTGAAGAGTCAATGAGTCGATGTAGTCAGCTGGTTTTCCTTAGATAGAAAACTTTGAACCAATCTGACTTGTGATCTGGTTGAATTATCTCTGTAAAGTGCCTTGAGATGACATGTGTTGTTAATTGGTGCTTTTTATATAAACTAAATTGGACTGAATTGAATTCCAACCTCTGTAACTCTCCTCCACTCCATCTTCACCATTTTCCATGTTTTCATCTGGTCCCTTTTTCCTCCTACCTTCATTCCACCACCAGAGTCAGACTCATACATATTCTAATTAATTTGCTAAACAACATCCTCTTTAATTTTCTATGCCTATGTCCCGAACGCCAAAGTCTATATTTTTAATGCCAGTAAAACTGCCTTATTATTACTCGTCTTCCATGTGAATCTCTGCAGGTTAAAATGTTGAAACATCATTGATAAAAAGGATCATAACACTCAATTCAATTATGAGAAATTTCACTATGAAAAATACTCCGTGAGTCACCTAGGTTTGCAGAAGAACTTGTACTGGAGGAGAATGGTAAAGGTGAACATCACAATGCCCTGGATAGTCATGGCCAGAAGATTTTTTCCCACCATCCCCCAGCTCAGTGGATCTTCAAAACGATCTTCCCCTAAAAAAAAAAGACCATCGGAACAGCAATGATCATCATTTCAGGTCAGTTTCTGGGTTACACAAACACACTTACAGAATGTTTTTAAAGTAAAAAACGGTTGTTTTCTTGTCATGGACAGCTAAATTACAGTATGTGTTTTTGGTAAATGTTGTTGGGTCGTTCAAATGTCTTTGACGTATTATTGATTATGGCCAGCAGTTAAAAAAGCCACTTTGATATCAGACAGAAAAGACAAATAATACAAAATAACCTGTGTGATTTAAGAAATTTTTTGACATCCAGTGTTTTTTTTGTTGTTTTTTTTGTCAATGGGTGGGTTTTTAATAAATGGAGGCATAAGTAAATCCACACAAACCTTCCCTGTTTCTCAGCCTAATGTGGTGTGAGGCGAGAGGTGGGGGAGCAAAACAAGAGACAAGAAAAACGAAAGGGCTTTCAGTCTCATTCTCTGGTAAATAGCCCCTCTTTACACCAGCCCTTTTAAGTTGTGATTGCTTTTCTCCGTCCCTCTCTCCAACACCACAGCAAATTATTCCTCAGACCGCTATTTCCTGCTCCATCTCTCGACAGATAAGACTCCTCTTCCTCTTTCATGTGCCTCTTTGCCTCTTGACGACCCCCTCAGCTCCAGATCCACCTTCACAGCTAACGTACCACTTGTCTCCCTTTCTCCTGTCTAAATTGAACTCAAATGCAGAGAAGAGCTTTAGTAGAGGTTTGGGAGCCGTGTTACTGGTCAAATGTTTCCCCCCTGGAGAACCAGCTATTTGAAAGAAATAGTATGGTGTCACTTTAAAATGAGGAGTGTGGTTGAATTGAGTGTTTCTCTGGCAAGGATTTGCAGGCATGTGTACTACTTCACTTTTACTTGGTATTTTGACCACTATAGACCGAAGTCATGCTGATGTAAGCACAAATATGCCTGTCAATCAGATGACCTATACTTTGAGCAAAATTCTGAGCCAATCCATATATTTGAAAAAACTATTTTCAAGAATACAATATTTAAGAAAGTAAGATTACACTTCAAATCATAACTATCATTTATAATTGTAAAGACACCATTTATCAATGATTAACAGATAGTTTATTAAGTTTTTATTAATGTATAAGCTGCTTCTAAACCATTTATAACAGGTAGATAAATAATTCATTAAGGCGTTAGAGTAAGGGTAATCCCAACGTGGCATAGCAAGTGAAATTAAAAATAAATGCTTGGTTCTTAAATCCCCTGATGTTAGAAATAAACTACCATTGCAGGGCAATATGATCTATTTACCTTTTATAAATAGTTTGGATGCAGTTTATAAATGATTAAATGATTATCAAACATTAATCCATTTTATTCATTAATAAATGGTCTCTTTAAACTAAATTACCTTAAAACTAAAAGCTTTAAACTAAAAAAGAAACTTGAAAATAAGTGATTCTTATACTGAAAAAAAACACACAAACTACAGAACATATCCATGCAGATGAAGTCATCCTTTTTATTTATCTTTTATGTCATTACCTTCATATTTTTGAAATAGCAACCACCGCTACCCAGACACCACTATAAATCCCCTGTTTAACAGATTCTGGTAATGTGAGAAAGAGTCCAACATATTCTATTCTATAACTATTCATGATCTATGAGGTGTTTGAATTGAATAGAACTTTGACAATGCTCCTCTAAGATCTGCAGCATTCAAAACTGTTTGTCATCTTTCCATCAGTGGCTGGGAGATGGAACTGGCTGACAACTACTAAATGCCTAATGGTTTACCATTCCGCTGTTAAAACACAGTTTAAGTAATCCTGAGAATTTCCCAAAACCTTCCTCTTCGAGGTAGAGGAAGGTCAAGCACTTGCCTGTAATTACCTTATAATCAGTTGATGCCATAACTCTCCCAGCATTTATGCTCCTTCCTTCATGTCTCTCAAGTGATTACCAGGACACCGATCAGTGGCTTCCTTCCTCTGGCCTAATCAGTTATCAGATATCTGTTCCTACTGACCCCCTGTCTTTTTCCTCCACCAGCATAGATAACAGCTACTGTACAACACAACTAAACAACTAAACCATCACTAACACCCTCTGTGTTATTTATTTAGAGAAAACATGAAAATGGTCACACCTGAATATGGCCCAGCAGGTGTGGCACAGCAAACAGGCCAAAATGACCCAGCAGAACTTCTCTACACCGCAATTTTTCAAAAATCTTCTGTCATTTTAAACACAAGTCCATCTAAAAATCTTGAAATAAACAGGAATTATCTGACCAGTGGTTTGTTCTACTTACACAATACATTCAAGATAAGTAAAACAAACTTTTTACACCAGTAACTCCGCCTTTCTCAGTGCGTGCACGTTGCCAGTATCTCCAACCACATCTTCCAAGATTTACAGAGTTCATATCTCGAACCCGGCCAAATTATACTGGTAATCAGTCATGTTTTAATGTGTTTTAAAACTGTATTCAATAATGATTTAAACACTAACAGGATGTTACTTTTTTGTGATCCGCTTAGTATAGTGAAATGCTTAAGGACTGAAGTGTCCTTAAAAGTGAGCCCCCCTGTGTCGGGTAGGCATTAGCTTATTTGTCTGAAAAGGTAATTCAAACTTAGAAACTCTGTGACCTCCTATATATACCGGTCCATTTCTAATCTAAGGAGAACACAACTGTCCGTGTACATTTGAAAAAAAAAAAAGGTTTTTTCAAATGTAAAAAGAAATCTAGTAAGGTATTTGTTAGAAGAATAAAAACAGCATGCCCTCTTGAAATGTATGGATAAATTGTCCTCCAGAAAATTCCTTTTAATCTGTTCTTGTCTCCTTGTAGCTTTCAAAAGGTCTCTCTGATCTCAGCATGTTTGTTGTACTGTTCTCATCAACCTGTTCAGGGTTTGTTGTTTGATACCATTCATCTCTTCTCTCCCTCTAACTCACACTAATTAGTGTCAAGCTTTCCAACACAAAGAGTTTATTCTATTTCTGATCTTGTGAAGTTGCACACCAGGGTTATCTTTATTGTAATCTTTGTGCTTTTCCAATGAATTAAAATTTGACAAACATCTACATCTGAATTGCAAGAAAAATGTAAATTATGATTTGCAACGAAGAGTATGAAGTAGTACTTTATTCCTTTGAAATAACTGCAAACATGCTTTATATACGGTAGGCCTTGTAACATCTAATCAAAACAATGGTTGTTTCAAAGCAGAACATACGTTTTTACCAAGGTAACAACACAATGAACAATGGTGTAATTCTGATAAAATTATATGCCATATTAATGAGCATGCAAGCAAATATCATTTAAAACCTAATAACTTCTTTAAAATATATCAAATAAAATATTTACAATCTTTATTTGTATTTTTTTAGCCAATGAAAATTAAAAAATTTTCACGCAAATTTAAATCGTAGGCTTTGCTGTTTTTATTTTTTTGTCATTCTCCCTTATACAATTAGCTGTAACACACTGTTCACATGGATATAAATGATATGCTGAAGTGTCACCAGCCACTTCACAGAGGTGGATTTTACTTTTGGATGTAAAGTTTTATTTTTTCTTTTATTTTTCTTTTTTTTCCCACCTGTCAGTATAACAAAGTGGTTCCCTGTCAGTGGGGTGCACCGCTAGGCATGACAAGGAGAGCACAAGAACAGCTTTGCTGTTTTCTTATCCAGATAATAAAGTGCACATTTTTTTCAGTCCTACAAAGAAAAATCTTTCAAAATAGGAAAACAAGACCATGTGCTTTTTTAGTCTGTACCTGAAGTCAGTGGGATGAGTAGAGAGGGATTCTGTTTTGTCAAGGCATATGAATATACAGAAGCAGCCATTCAAATGGCCCTTCCCAATCAAATGCCAAGTCAAATGGCAGCCCACTTCCCTGCAACTCCCAGCAAAGTCCCCGCCATCTTCTAGCCACTGGAGTGACTCCCTCTTTCTCCTGGGTGTGCATATTTTTTTTTTTACTCTGACTCCACCTTTTCCCAGAATTACAGGGTCTGACCAGGAGATGACACTTCTGTTTAGATCTTGTCTATAAATTATGACAGAAAGAATATCTTAGTGCAAAGATTAATGTTTAAAAAGGAATTGTAGGGGACCAGCCAAGGGCCCATCAAGAAAAGTGGGGAAACTTTGAATACTGATAAAAAATGACTATTTCAGTGACAGAATTGTCATGTGTTCAAATTTGGAGTTATAATTGTATTTTTTGTCCAAAAAAAATTTAAAAATGTCCAATGTTGTGGAAAGTTCATTAAGTCTCCAGACTTGTGCTCTACTGACTTCCTCCTACTTAATGAATAAATGTCCATATAAAATTAAAGATTATGATAACAAATTTAAATTGTAGATTTCTTATGGCTTTTTTGAGGTTTTGCTGTGTTCTCAGCTTCCTTGTGCACACTGTTTGTCTTTCAAATTTTTGAAAGAATGAAAACAATACGATACATTAAAATGTATTTTAGCATAGCAAAATATAATTAAAGTGATAAATATCCTGCTGTGGCTCATTTTTGTTGTGTGATAAAAGTCCTTACCCAAACTGGCGTAAAGTGTCGCCATCGCCTGGTTCTTGGCCATATCAATTAGCCCTCTGCCCAAACAAAAGTGTGGGAATATCAGCAGCACCTGCTTCACTATGTCATTGATTTGGGAGATGTTCTGTTGAGAAAAAGAAAACAACATAAAAAACTTTTTCCATGTTCATAAACCTGGAGAGGGTTTTTGAGCATTAATCTCTAATCAGCATGATGAAAGGATCTATAAGTTCAAGGGAGAGTGCTGATAATTAACAAACACCCTGCACTCCATTGCCATGCTGAGCGCTGTTGTGTTTCAGAGAGCTCCAAATGGCGTCCTTTGAGTGCACAGTGTATGAGGTTTCATCTACCATATCCGACACTGGGGAACATACTGTGTGATCTGTGGAAGACCCGCATACAAGCTAACAGATGAGCTGCTGTATGGGCAAACAGATGTTGATCCGCAAAATCATAACTGAGGAAAAACGGCAACATCCCAAGACCCTGGAGAGAAGGTCTCTGTTTATCTGCCTTGTTTTTAATCCTTTGACAGTGTGATATACTACAGAAACAAAACAGAAATGAATAAAAAGAGAGCAAAAGTATACAAACTCACTGGGAAGGAGGGAATAAATGCAAAGAACGTTATATCCTAATAATGTACCTTAATGCTCCCTTATTTGGGATTCCACTAAAGGACAGAACACTAATGAGCTAAACGTCCTCAGAAAACTGAGCTTTGAAACAAACTAATGGACATAAGAAGAGACGTCCAGTATGCCACAGAGGAGGAGTAGGGTTTGGAAAAAACAAAACGCAGTGCAAGGATAAACTATAAATACACCTGGCACGGCTTGGTGTTCAAAACCAACTTCATGCATTATGTATCCTGCTTCATTGCAGCACTTTTCAAAGCTCTTGCATACGCAGCGGGAGACAGAAAATTCATCATTTCTGCTTTTGCTCGTGTAAAGATTAGGTGGTGCAGGATGTTGTAAGTTGGGGTATAGTTTTCAAGGTACAGCCTATTAATGTCCCATCCTTCATTTATGGATGTGTGAGTGTGTGTGTGTGTTTCTCAATGCACAGTATTAGTGTGCATGAGTGAGCTTTCAATATGCAGTTAGCCAGATTGCATAGAGCATACGGGCCTGATGCCACTGTCAGAGACACTTGTTCCATTTACATTTCCGGCATATATGTCTACCTTGAAGAGGAATAGCTGATCTCAACGACTCGATTTTTAGATTCCTGAAATTATACTTTGCAAAACTAGGTGCTAACTATACATCCTTTAAGTAGTATTATATATATTTATATATACGAAATATTGGGCTAATATCATTTTAAGGTCAAAGGTATAGTTTTTATTTAGTCTCTGATACAATGTAAGATCTGATCAAAACAATAGGGTTAGGCTTACTGTATAGGGGAATGTGTATTTAAAAGGAAAATATATAATATAATAAAATAAATATTATATATAATAAATATTATATGTTAATATATTATCATATTATATGATAATATAATAAAGTTATAACAAAAGCTTTTTTCAGTTCATTAATACCCTTGTTAGAGGAAACACCTTTATCATCATTACAGGAGTCAAATCCTCTGAATAACTGAAGATTAGTGGATAATTGTTTCCATTAGTATTTTGAAGATTCATCCGTAGCCCTTTAAGGCGGGTACACACTGTATGTATTGTATTGTATTGTATTTTCAATAATTGTACTCAGCTACAGCTAAAACTGTAAAACTTAACTGCAGAGTTAAAAATTTCACAGCTAATGATATATTTTTTTACACTGTATGGCCCGACGCTGAGATGTGATCTACCTCCTCACACTGTACAACCAAAACCCACAGGCACCGAGAGAAGGCGCTGGTCGGACTCGGCAATCTGGAGGAGGAAGAATTGCCTTGTTTTCACATGTGACGTGTGCAAGGCTCAGGTAAATTGGCTCGTAGACGCTCGTAGCTCTGATTCAACAGCAGGATTTGCTGACACAGGAGGGAACTGAATTACAAACATGTTAGATTTTCTCCCGACCTTACAATTCCTGATCCGTAGGCAGTCGTGAGAGGCTAACTAATGTGATCCTGTGGCATAGGCCCACATGTATTTAGTCAGAAGTGGTCTGTTCTTGCATGTTCTTATTATATCTTGCAGCAGGAGGAAGAAACTTTCGTACCCACAGTGTGTTACACTGTGTTCATGACCCCGTTCATGACCTGTGCTGTTGTTTAGGTTTAGGGGAAACCACTTTGTTATGTTGATATGTATCGTCCCTGCACTTTCAAAGTAATGGAAAACAAATGAGTCGGGATTCCTATTAGCCAGAAAATACAAAGCCTGAGGCTTTAAAGCTCTGGGATTTCAGTGGATAAGGGATTTTGGTTAGAACCAAGTCCTTGAGGACAGATCCTCATTTGCTATCACCCTAATGGTTTGCTTCCTTCATTGTATCTGTATAAAATATTAATATGCGTTCAGACAAAACTAATATTACAATTTAAAGAATACCTTATTCCAAAATTTGTCAGTATGTATGAAAATAAGCGTAGCTATGAACTTTTACCTTAATCCTTAGACCTAACTACAAAAGTCTAAAAAATAGTTATTTGTTTTCTTTTAATATCTATTTTTGGGTGCAACTGTGGGTTCAAGAGCCTTGCAAATGTACCTGTTCACCTCTAACCTCCCCATACTTATCCTCTAATGCCATTTATTCAGATTTTAAATAAAAAAAATAAGTTAAGTAAAACTGAATTGCCTTTAACACGTTTTGGACAAAACTCTTAATTTTTATACCTTGTTTTATACCTCTAAATGAAAATAATTCAAATCCAGCCTTCATTGAAGAGCAGCAAGAATTATGCGTCATAAGAGACCTTTTACAAGCTTAATTACAGGTCATATAGGAAACATAGAAAACATGGAAAATAGGTTTTCTGGTTGGATGAGATCACCGTCACAGTTTTTTGGTTTACATGCATGTTGTCTTTTTTTAAAAAGGAAATTCAATTTGTACATATTCCTCAACAGACCATTCCCACGTTAAAACATGTTAGTCTCGCATTAAAGTTGTAGGGATGATTTCTTTTGATGCGTAGGTAAGCTGGACAGAGTTTAAAGGAAGATAGATGGAGCTTTAAACATACAAATCCTGGAAGATTATCTGTTAGAGGCAGCAAGAAAATGGATAAAAAGACGGAGGGTCATCCTCCAGCAAAAACAGCTGTCCTGAACTTATAACCAGAGCTCTAATGGAATAGTTTGAATAAAAGATTTTAAATGAGTCAGAATGGCACGGTCAAAGTCAAGACCTAAATTCAATAACAAGAAAATGTGGGAATGCATGAGGAAAAGTATTGCAAGCCAGTTTTATTTTGTATCTGCTATAAAAGCAGCTTTTTAGTTAAGTTTCATAATTAAGCTTGTAAAGAGTTTCGAAGCAAAAACTTAAGGTCATCCATTGGTCAGTGTGCAGAGAGTTACTGCCAGTGATGAAATGCATTTATGATGTTACAGAGGTATAAATACGACCATTGATGTCCTGCTGCTGCTCAGTTGGCAGCTCACACTATAACCTTGTTACATATTTATATGCATGCAAAGCAGGTAATTGAGATCTGACTGCTCAGGACAGATTTTAGTTCAAGGTGTACATTTCATGGTAAACTCTTTCTTCTTTTTTCTGGAACAAGGACAGATGGCAATGTTAGATCCAAGCAGGACCTTTAGAAAATGTGTTTAAGGTAATTGTTGAAGCTCAATTCAAAATTATTCAAAGAAGAAATTTAATAAATAAATACAACCACTCTGTCGGATGCATATTGTTTTTCTCTTATAAAGATTTTATGTATGAGAGCATGTGGGTTAATGGAAAGAAAGCAAAGTTTAATCTTCTCTCTTTGTGGAAAAATAAACACAGTAATGCCTAAGATCAAAAGTGGGCTTATTACAGGTTCTTTTTTCATCTTTTCTAAGTAGGTGGTCTATTGAGTGCTTTCTCTGAGGTATGCATCAGACCATGATTAGAAGCTCTAACTGATCATGATGTACGTAAAAGCAAACCTTCAGAAGTTGAGTTTAACAATTTGTTGCATTGTCCTTTCTACATTTATGCATTTGCTTAAAGATTAAAAGGAGCTGTTCACTGGTCATCCTTTAAAAAAATAAATGTTGCAGAGAACAAAAGCCACAAAGGCAAATAACTAATTTTATTCCCTGCCAGAGCCTTTAAAATAAAGATCAACATATATAGTTATATCACATATTTATATAATTTCAGATAACAACAGCATATTTGGCAGACATTTCTACAGAAAGTAATACTTGATGCCCTTCTACAACAACCGACATTTAAACACTAATCAGGGTTTAACAAATTTACTGCCTATTTGTGAAACAAAAAAACAAAAACAAAAAAGAAACACTAAAAGAGATGTTTCCAATGTCTTATTTTTTTGGAAGCATCATAACTGCAGCTAATAGTGCAGTTAATTACCTTTCTTTTTTTTCAGGAAATTCATAAAAGTGTCTTATGTTTAAAGCATTTTTTTTTTTTAGAAATCCAAAAAACATTAACTACTAAGGGACTTACAATGAAATAGAAAAACTACAATAATAAAGATCTGGAATTACCAAAATAAGACCTGATATAAATCTGTTTGACAATAAACTGATGCTTGAAAAAATTAACATTCTTAGCTTAATGCAGTTCTGTGAAGAGGAATGGGACAAAAGTCCTGGCAGGATTAAAAAACTGGCTCAGCTAGTTTGAATATCTGCAAATATAGGTAAAATAGATTATCACTTACCGACTAGTTTTATTTAATTTTTGGGGTTTTCTTTGTACGATATTACAATTGCATTCATAGTATGAATAAAATAAATGTAACAGAAAAGCAAAGAACCGGAGAAATAAATTGTCAAGGGAAAACTACTTCTTTATGCCACTGTAGCAATTAATGTAAACAGGTTGAAATATGACCAAAGAGGAAGGTGCAACAGTCTCTGTAGAATTACCCCCAAATCTATTCATGCTATTTCAGTATTTCTTCATTTCAAAGAGCTGTGAGGGCACCAATGCATTGCCTCTCTCTGTGTTTCATTGCTTTGCTGTTGGA